CCCCCCCCCCCCCCCCCCCCCCGTCTCGACCCAAGGGCGAGACAACGAAATCTCACACCAGTAAAAGTGTGGATACATGTGCACCTGTCCAGGGTAAGAGAAATACAGATCCAGTACACTGTGCTGATCTAGCTATATAACTGTAAGACCTATAATAGCTACATTAACCTATCAGAAATTGGCACTTTCAAGTGTTTTCACGCAATATTTTTTAACAAGAAAACAACAACATAGAGTTGTGTTTTTGAACTTTATTCAACAAAAATTATGAAACAAGTTATTTCAACTTATATTGATCACTCTAGTTGGCCTGGATGTTAGCGATAGAAAACCTACGTGCAGGTAGGTGACAGACCCAATACCTCTTCATGCCTAATCGTGGAAGCGAACCCTGGGCCCTTGGTGAAAGACAAGTGTGTTATCCACTGCATCACTCGACCACCAATGTATATGCTTTCATAGTCAACATAACCATAAAACCTGTAGTTTTATGCGATTTTGCTTTTTTTTTTTAATCTCAATACAACTGTGGAAGATTTTACGTGTGCATAAAATTACGTAGGGGGGGAATGGGTAACCGTATACCGGTTGTGGTTTAATTTGGGTATGAGTACTATCTGGTTAGCAAATTCACATACCCGGAAACTGTCCTAAAATGTAGGCTAGTATTTATTGAATTCCGGGCAGAAATGTCTCTCCTGACTGCTGATTGACAGACCTTGAAAACACTTGTGATCAGTACAAACATAGACATGGTAACAATAAACTTTGAATGTAAACATAATATCGACTGATATTCTGTTGAAACTTTAGTCATAATTCACCGGCAGCTATTGTCAGTGTTCCGACCAGAGTGATGCACTGAAATACGTGTGCACAGCATTGACATAATGACAGCTCACAATAGTGAAGTGAAACTACGAAAATTACCCTATCGGGAGGCTAGTGATAATATGTGATTAATTTATAACGATTTCATTGCACAAGAAAACACAGTTACCTGGTTTCGGTTTGGATAAGCACACACAGTTATATTCATCTGAGTGGCATTTTTTCTAACCATAGCGGCCCCTGAATTAATTTACGGTCGCCTTCTATACTAAGTTCTAGCTTCAAGCTAGAGGGAATTTCCCTTTAGCTCAGTGGTAGAGCGTCCGACTAGGAACCTAGAGATCGTGGGTTCGATCTCCGGTGGAAGCACACTATTATCTTTCCTGTTACTCATACACAGCTATAAATGATAAATGCCAAAATGGACAAGTCATTACAGTTGTATACTTACTATACTGCCATAGGTACTAGCATCGTTTGTCAATACACCCATAATATAAATTGTATTTGGTGTATTAACAGACGAGACAAGTAGCTATGGTACTGCAGTGATTCATCACAACAGTTACTGGTGTATGGACTAGCTTTAGCATGTAGCTAGGTAACAGGTTGGTCACAACGGCGCATATATGTGTAATAATCCTACATCTGGGTAACAGTTACCCATTTGAGTAATAATTTTATTACTGAAATGGGGAATAAAGTGAAATAAAAACACACAAAGTTCTTTTAAACACTTGGAGCAAAAAGGGGCGTCAATCAAATAAACAACACAATGAAGTACATTTGTGCACAAATATTTATCAATTCTGATGTGAAAAGGACAAACCATATCACAGACTAAATGTTCTCCATTGACTTCAGCGTTTAATCAATGGGACTATCCAGTGCAAATGTGACAGGTGAGCATGGTTTTTTATGTGTGCTATTTAGAGCTACTCTACAACATACTATAATTAAGCAATGGAGGTGATGCAATTTGTCATTTTCACATAAATTTAGACAAATGAATTTACATATTTTTGTACACAATTGTACCTCATTGTATTTTTTATTTGATTATGTTGAAAGAACGACGCCCTTTTTTGTTCATAATGTGTAAAAGAACTTTGTGCATATTTATTTCACTTTATTACCCATTTCAGTAATAAAATTATTAATACTGAAATGGGTAACTGCACAGGAGTGATTTATGATGAAAATTTATTCAAAAGAACCTGTTTTTTTTTTTGAAACATTTCACACCTGTGATTGAAAGTCGAACAAAGTCATTATGTTGAACAAACTTTATAGCCTTTCATCTCAGAATGCAACTTGCAAAGTATCAACATCCTGGGACCCATGGTTATTCAGAAGAGGTCGTTTAAAGATTTTGAACAAATTTGACCCCTGTGACCTTGAATATAAGTCAAAGTCATTCACTTTAACAAACATAGTAGTCCTTGATCCCAGCATGCTACTGACTAAATATCACCATCCTGAGCAGTGTGGTTATTCAGAACAAGTTTTTATTTTTTTATTTTGAACATATTTGCTTCTTGTGACCTTGAATATGATTCAAGGTCATACATTTAAACAAACTTGGTAGCACTTGATTCTAGTATGCTACTGACTAAATATCATCACCCTGGGCATTTTGGTTATTGAGAGGAAGTTGTTCAATGTTTTTCACATATTTGACCCCTGTAACCTTGAATATAATTGAAGGTCATTCATTTGAACAAACTTGGCAGCCCTTCACCCAAGCTTTTGGCCAAATATCGACACCATAGGCCTTTTGGTTTAAAGAAGAAGTCGTTTAACTTAAAATATTGACGCCGGACGGACGGACGACGCCGCGCCACGGCATAACTTCGTGCCAGGTGAGCTAAAAATAGTGTTACCGTTATTATTCATTTTTGACAGAACTTCAGGCTTCTGTGATAAATCACACTTACCATGGCAGAATGCGACAACGACAGATGATTGTAGATCGACAGTACATGAAACAAGTTATCGCAAACAATAAGAAGAGCACAGCTCTTTTTGCGCGGAAGGAGGCGCAAGAAGCGAAGCTCTTTTCCGGTAACATGTGTACGAACAATTGAAGTCATGGTAACGTCGAAATACTATGGTTCCAAAATCCTTCGTCATGGAAGTAGCTAGTATAGAGTTACCGCGTTACTTTTTTTTACGATGCTGTTTAGCTTTGCTACACATTCTCAAAAATATCTCTTTATTTGATAATTTGTTTCTGTGGTTATGTAAATTCGTGACATTAAAAATTTAAATTATAGAAAGTGAAGCTTCTTTCAAATTTTCAGTCTTTACTTCTCTCCACCCAAACCGGAAGTATATAGTAACTACCAAACCAGACGGAAATCCGGTTATGTTTGGGCTATTGTGATTCTCTTTTTACACGATTTAGAGGGATCAGGCAAAGTATATTATGTTGGAAAATAAAATTGGAATTTAATCACCAATATACTTAACTTTTATAATAACAGATAATAACCGTTACATTTTGATAAACAATACATCTTCAAATATGAAGTCCCTCTTCTAGGCCTCACTCTTTCCGCAACATTACGCTGAGGCCATAGACTGGGCAATTAAATGCAACAGTACTACATGTAAATACATTTGTGTTTTCTCTTGAACTGCATAATTCCTTCGAATGCTTTTCTATACTTATTATTAATTTTACATTTATCGCTATAAAACGAATAAATAGATAATATTTTAAACAATGTTATTTAGAAAATAAAATTGAAAAAAAAACAGCAATTAAGACGCGTCTCTCGTTTCAGGCACAGGGCCACGTTACAATCACACATATGCTATACTGATACGGGTCACAACACACATATACATGTGTTGTGACCCGTATCAGTATAGCATATGTGTGATTGTAACGTGGCCCTGTGTTTCAGGCAATGCCTGTTTTCAAAATGAATGATTTGCCCAGCAACAGATTCAACTAGGAAAAAACAATTAACAGGTAAATTTTGTATGTATTAAAATGGGTAGTGTTATGATTCAAAAATTATAGTATACTATCGAAACAAATGTACGAGCTGCGCTCTCTCCAGGCCATGCCTGAGTCATATTATTTATTCACCATATGATATAGAACGCTACGTGATGTATTGGGATTAATTTGCACATGCCCTTTTGCCCTTCATGTTGCCATTCATTTTATCCACGTTCGATTTACTTACTGCTTTGGTCAGTGGGGTCACTGGTAAACTTGGGTTCAGCAGGGTCCTCACTTGAGTTTTTACAGGCGATACTCTGGACATTCTGGACGCAACGCCCACAACACCTCTCATTACACCCGCCATCGTGAGAGCTGATCGTGAATGAAAGATTGTATAATGGCGGATTTACTAGTCCGCAGAAAATGTTATAATCAAAAGAATACAAATATTTTTCTAAATATCTTTGATATTTATTTTCGTCTAGGGTTAAAACATAAGAATAAATTTGAATTTATAACGGAAAGAATAAATGCATTTATATATTTTTTTAATTTTATTTGCTGCGGAATTAACGTCATGAGAAAATTGTAGTGAATGTGAACGTCAAGGAAAAGGTGAAGGGAATGCTATCGTTTTAAAGAGCGAACTATTCTTTTCATTAGTCGGGAGAACAGACATGGTAAGTTAGGAAAGAACAGATATGATGTCTAAAATAATCTAAAAGGCTGAATCGTATCTTATGTGCCGTTGTCTTCATAACTCTGAGCAGTAAACAACACAGTGTTGACTGTGTATATTGTACATTACACACTGGTGTCATGATAAGTCTTACATCGATTCGTGTACGAAGTAGGGGCCGGTCCAGGGAGACACTTTCAACCAAATGGGAATCCCTTTTCATTTGCACTGAGACGTATTATCTCCCGGGATCTTTCACCCTTTCCTGTTCGTCCTAATTTCGTTAATAGATGTATTCCCATTTCAAAATGTCACCCATTGGGCATTTGGTATCCAGATGACAGATGAACGGAATAATACAGGTGCTGGTCATACTTATATGATGTGCACCTGTGCTGAATATATTGATGTGACGTTATGGCTATAAGAAAAATGTAAATTGCAGGTGAGGGTGAAATCTCATGAAGCGAAACGTATTTTTATTCACTTTATTTATAATACTATTAATAGAGGTTTGCAATCAATTTGTAGAGGAACTGGACTGGGTCATTCGTCAGCAACCAGATAGCTCAATTGGTAGTGCATCTTTCTTGAGTTCAGAAGGTCTCAGGCCTGACTCCCAGTCTGGACATGCACTTTCAATGGATCCGGGTTGTTTCCCCCTAAATCCAGTTCGTCCAAGGTTGTTTTGCCCTAATATATATATATGTATATTTTTAAGTGATAAATATCTGTTGAAATGTTTAAAATTAATTAAAAAGCGTTTTATTTTTTGTATCACAAACAATTGTGTTGTCGGAAGAATGCAGGTGTAGCTACAATTGTATGTGCAGATCCGTTCAACCACATACAAATCTAACGAGTCTAATGACAAAAAAGGCTAAAAGAGATATATATAGAAAAGCTTGAGATTAGACTGTCTTTACCATACACAACTAAACAGGACTAAACTATTTCACTCTAGAAATATTTAAGGGCGAAACAACTTAGTGCGAAACAACCAAGGGTGAACAGGACTTGACAATGACCTGACACCCTTTCAATATGTATCTTTTTTCAGAGTAGTACGGATCTGGGTCGTTTCACCCCAAATCCTGTTTGCACAACAGGTCATTTCACCCTAATGTGAAAGTTTGTTTTGCCCTAATATAAAAATATATTTTTGTGTTATAAATATTGTTTTAAATGTTTCTATTGATTAAAAACTTTTCTTCGTGTTTCACCCTCAATTTTGCAGTAGGAAGAATTTTATGTAGGTGTGCGCGAGGTGATTTTTTTTTTTTTTAAGAGATGTTATTGATATAACATACAATTTCATTTGATTTTGCTTTAAAATACTTGTGGACTATCATAATCAACAAGGAAAGGGGCAAACGGCAGTATTTGAGAAAACAATTATTTTAGTCTATGTTGATAGTCGTACATTTATTCCTTGCTCATGGCCTAAGGAGCGTTAGATCAGTACCATGCATCGATTGAGAGTCATGGACTAGAGATCTGTTCTTTGAGATTTAAATATTAACAGCTATACTACTACAGTGTCTGATAGTGAGTACGAGAGATTGGTCCTGTGGAATTTATGAGGTTATATTAGGAGATTGAGACAGCAAATACAATTTATACTATATACAATTTTGTAAATTTTGTAAATAGGTGTTATGCAATTGAGACAGTTTAAATTGAGAGTTATAATTTTCACTTTGAGTTTGAAGCATTTAGAATCATGACTCTTTTATAGTGTTATCCCACTGAGACGTTACAACATAGATACAAGAAACTGTTGATTCTTCTGGCAACAGTCCTTGATTAAAGAACTGCACATTGAATTTGTAGAATTCACTGAATAGTATTTATGTATTGAGTCCCATAGGAGAATAGCAGTGTGTTAAATCAACATTCACATATATAACATACATGTTTACATTGGAAGTTTAACTTTTAACAGGACCGCCAAATAATAGTTTTGGCATTTTGTAATTTAAAATGGTGTGCATGACACCCACTAACGAAAGGTTGTGACCAAACGTCAGTGATTTTTGTAGACTTTCAGGTGAGACCTGAACATCTTTAACAAGATTTTGATGATTTCCATTACTAAGAGATATAATGGGTTCTCAAAATGGGCGGTGAATCCCACAGGGAAATTAAAGCATAACTGAGTTCCAAAATTTTCTGAAGAAAACTGCTCTTTTGATTGAAATGTATCTCCTGTATGTTTAATGAATAATTTTAAAAGCAAGATTAGATTTCCACAACATTTGTGTTTCCTTAAACTTTGCTGTTACATTTTTTTTTAATTATTTACCATAAATCAATCTTCAATTTAATGTACCGGTACCATTCTCTCAGATGTTCATATAATTTATCTCAAGAACTGATCGTGAAAGCAGTGTTACATTCAGTTTGAATTTGTTCATACTTTCAAGACTTGATGGACCATGTCAGTCTCAGTCAGTCAATGGAACCAGAAATTAATCCCAATACCATATTCATTTGACCGATATTTTACAAACATTTTATAGTGTAAATATTGATAAATTTTAAAAACTGCATTCTAAGATATAACATCTACCTGTAATGTAAATGTACTGTACTACATTTCGCACTATCTTAGTTAAAAAAAATATCCAGGTCCACATTCTTAAAAGATAATATACATATGAAAAGCCCAAATTATGGGTCAAAGTCCTATAAAAATAGTACCTGGTAACTGAAACTTGTTTTTAGGCAACAGCGATTTCGGGAACGCATGTTCCAGTATCATACAGTTACAGATATCATGGATAATGACAGAACATCTTAGTTGACCGACATCATGATATTTTTTCAGATAATGAACACAGCAATTTTTTATTAAAAAGATAAGTTCTAAACCCTATATAGGTCAGTATTGTATCAGTGTTGTTCTGTTCATGCGACCGATTTACAGACTGCATTAGATATTCCAAGGCTGTTTAACTTGTTTGATAAATATACTAGCAGTACACCAAACAGTATGCCAAAGGCCAAGTCGATAAAAACATGTTTCACTTGGAATTATCATATGAAACACATGCACAATCAGTGATTGATTAAAAGTGAGGTATACTTTCTTGGTTATCTTAAAAAGAAGTGTATACATACATGTAATGATGTGTGTGTGATATTTCTGTTCTTACATCACTGGGGGGGTGGGGGGGTGGGTATCATTTGGGTAAACATTTAGCCATTATTCGATGTTGAATTATATTAATGGTAAACTATTTCGAAATTTCCCAAAATGAATATCTTTATTTTTTTAAAGGAAATCAAAAGTGTCATGAATAATGTATTTTCTATTTCACAGTGAATATATATATATACTGATAGGTAAACTTTGTAATGGAGGCATTGACAAAAGTGTTCAATTGTTGTGTGCAGTCTGCATGTTCTCTTCCTTAAAATGTTTTGTGAAAATTCTTACCTTTTTTTCCACAGTAAATCAGTAATATTAAATTCTGTAAATTAAAACAGGAATCTTAAACAATTTTGTTCCCAAAAATTAGCAAAAAATAGAATAAAGACACCAACATTCTGGATTTGTTTACAAGCTTTGATAATTAAGACGTATGCTTATACCTAGCAACAGCATTTTTTTCCTTGGCCTTAAACTGAAATCTTTGTCTCTATTGTCTGTTTAGTGCCATATGCTTGGTCTAAAACATCCCCAGATAGCTTTGATGGAATCTCTGCTGTTTAGAGGAATCCCGCTATCAACAGTTTTTGAAGTTGTTTACAATTTGCCCATCACATCATTTACAGGAGCCAGTTTAATCTGGACATACTGGCTTGATAAAATGAAGAAATATGAGACTGCAGCAGTTGCAATGGGGGTCATGTTTTAGTTCTAGTTAGCTAAAGTGAAAGGGAGTCTCCGCCCTATATATCTGTGGGAGGGGTGGAGCCCTTAACTGATAAATCAGGGAGATCTCTGCTGCTACTTTGAAGTCGGGCTGGCAACGAAAGCCAGGGTAAGGTTCTAATGAATATCAGACATTTCAACTCCTACAACGTAAAAGTTATAGGTATATACTTTGTGCATGACACAGATTTACATATATACAGAATACAGAACATGTTTTGTTGTAGGGCAGATGTTCCATAATTAAACACATCCTAAACATAGCTTTTAGACTGTATTGTAAACAAATCTTAGTGTTCACACACATGCAAAAAAAATCTTGCTTCATGGAGATTAAAATGCCACGAAAGCCGGAGTTTAAAACTGCAGCTATGTGTACGTAGGGGCCATGCATACAGCACTGCCAAAAGCTATTACAAAGTTAGATCACTAATCAAAATTAGTCTCTACACTACATATTGACACATGTACTTGACTGGAGTGTAAGTATTGTACACATGATGATTGATGGTTATATTTAATCTATATAGAGAATATATATAGTGTTTCTACGACTGGGTTTCTATTTAGCTTATGCAGTCAAGTGGTAAGATTTCAGTAATTATCAGACATTCTTATGAAAGGCTTTTGAGTTTCTATTTTCTTGACATATGCAAGTATTGTAAACAAAATCTTATACATTTGTGCTTGAAGATGTCCTATAATTGCTAAAGATCTACAAAGATAGAAATATGTTGTTCTTAAAAAGTTAATATACATATACCTAGTTATTTTGTGCTGTGTCACTATTACCTAGATAAGTATAGAAGGTGAAACATGTGTAGGTATACAAGGTGTGATATACAGACAGGTGTATGTATATATACAGAGTGATACACAGACAGGTGTAGGTATACAAGTTGTGATACACTGCAGACAAATGTGGGTATACAGAGTGATACACAGACAGGTGTAGGCATACAGTGCAATACACAGACAGGTGTAGGTATACAGTGCAATACACAGACAGGTGTAGGTATACAAGGTGTGATACACAGACAGGTGTGGGTATACAGAGTGATACACAGACAGGTGTAGGCATACAAGGTGTGATACACTGCAGACAAATGTGGGTATACAGA